TTATCACCCTTCGTATATATTTATAGTTAGGGGCTGCTAAAATACTCAAGCATTTGCACACCTGCGCTTAAATGTATGCTACAGATGTTGTCCGTTTTGAAAAAATTTCAACTGCGGCAGCTTTATCCGCACGACGTCGCGACGTTGATTAGACGTTTTAGGAAATGTTAATAGTTCCCATTACTCACTGCACGCACATTTTGTGGTTAACCCTTAAGACTGTTAAATAGCTTATCAACTCCTAATGGATTTTTGATATTTGTCAAAGTGAAACTTGCAGATTAATTAACGCAAGCCACAAAAATTAATTCATACGTCAAAACTAATTAAAGCAAAACTAATTAAAGTATGATAGATTTGTTATAGCTATTTGTTTCTTATCTGTTGATAAAAAAAAAGTCAAATTGTCTTGTATTCCAATATGAAAACTATATTTAATATGTGTAGAGCAGTTATTTAACTATTTTATTATATTGTGTTCATGTTTTATCGTTAAATGACAATGTTAATGTGAGTCTAGGATTGGTCGCGAGAAAGTCAAAGATACACATGCGAGCTATTGTTAAAGCCGTCGGAGTTCCACATTGTTTAAAAAAAGGTTTATTAGTTAATATTTATAACTATTTATATATTTATAAACTAACTAGTGGACTTCTTCTCTCAACTGATCATTTCAAGGAAAATCAGCTAAGTTTGTGTTTAATCCTTTTTTCAAATACGACGAGTATTAACTTTTCTACAAGCCGGAATAATTAATTCTAACACACTCATACATTTTGTATTAACAGGCGCACATAATATTTATATAAGCACTTCCTGTTGGGTATACCATATAAAATACCAATATGACACGCTTTTATTACGCTCAACTTTATTACCTATTTTAGCGCAACACCACAGCGACAATCAAAGCACTTCCTCTTTTCCGCACAGACACTCTCGCAACCAAATTATGTGCAAAACGTCTAAAATAAGTTGGCAACATAACTAAAAACATTTCGCTATCGCATCGCTACATATACTTACTATATACATATTTCCATGGCTGCTATCGAGTGCCGCAGACATAAAAGTGCAGAAAGTAGCAACAAACTTTAAGCCGCCGCACATTTTTCCCCCCAATACATACACACACTCACGCAAAAAAAAAAAAATTTAGCAAAATGGGTTTTAGCCGAGTGGTAAACTTTATTTCTGCTCATTTTTGTGTGTGCGAGTATTTCTATATTTATGAAACTTTTTCAATTTGAAATAAAGTTTTATATTTTGCACCGAAAAAAAAAGGCGGAAAATATTTTTATTCATAACAAAGCATTCATGCCTGGCCAAAAAATGCAACAACTGCACATGAAAGGCAATTGCAAAAATGTTTGTCCGGCCACAATACATTTTTGCCATGATACATATTTTTGTTATTAAAAACTAATTTAAATTGTGTAAACGGCCCAAGCGTTGATTTATGCGCTCCCATTAAACAATTACATTATAAAAAAACGTTATGGCCAACAATTACTTGGCGGTGGCCAGCATAGCTTTAACTTACACTTCAACTGCATTAACATAAGAGTCAAAATGGAATTTAATGTGAGGTGCCATCATGACGTATGCGTAATTCATTAATTATTAAATATTCTGAGGGACGAGATACAGACTGGAAAAAGTGATGCGCGAAAAATTGGTAAGTGGCGTAAATTGAAATGCAAATTTTAATGCCTTGGCCAGTGCTGGAGAGCAGTAACTGTATATTGCACTACACTAAGAGAAATGATTGCGTGTTTGTGTTGGCCCAGACAAGTTAATAGCCCCCCATCGGCACACTTGATAAGGTTGCATAGCAAGTCTGTCAAATGTTGCACGATGAAAGGCATTTTCAGATTAATGCCTTTATAAATGGCATCCTTTCATGCCAACATTTCAATGCGTGACTGCAGCTCCTCAAACAATTTTTCAACTGTGCTCCACAGACAAGTTAACTTCTCTGTTAACTGCATAAGCAGGCTATTCGTAAAAAGGAGTAAGTGGAGAGGAAAACTCGGCGAGTTATTAATCCAGCACTTCACTTTATCGCTCGCATTTTAACTTATTTAAATGTAAATGTGCAGCTGTTGAAGCTTCGGCAGTACACTTAGTTTTTAACCACCAAAAATAGGTTTAATTGATGGCAACAAATTTGCATTGTGATTGCCAGAATGAACTCGGCGTTTTCAGGATAATTGTAATTGACATAAAAGTCACTGCCCACAAATTTGCGGTCAAACTGTACTGTCTTTTAACGATAAAGCCACTCTTTTGACTATTTACCTTTCGGTTTATGGAACCTTAAACTTACTAATCTGATGTACTTGCGATTTAATTGAATTTAGAATAATTGATTGTAATTTTAAAACTACCTCAGATCCATTAGATTGCAAGACAAATCATTTAATGAATGTAACATTTAATCGAACATGTTCAAAGCACGAATTAAGAAAATGAAAACAAACTGAAAACTATTTATTTGCACTAACTCTCAATCTCTTTGTTTGGGCAAAAAGTAAATGTAGCTTTTAATCGACTTTAAAACAATTTTGCTATTTTTTATTGACTGAAATAACAAAAGCATTAATTATCGTACAATGCGAAACACAAATATCAATTGCTTCTGGAACATTTTGAAATGTTTATTTACAAATTCCGAAAATAAAAGAACCCATTGGTTAATTAATATATTGTGCGGTTGTCTTTAATTTAGGTAATTTATGTCAAATTGACCACATAAAGAGTTTTTTAACCAAATAAATAAGGCACATAATATAAATATAATTGATTATACAAGCAGAATATATATAAAAAACTTAAAAACATTTTTATATTACTTGTATTTGTTTAGGTAAATGAGTTCTCTGTTCATCATTTTGGCTAAAGAAGACAACCACTTTTTTTCGATATTCCACAATTAAAAAATTGTTCTTTTGAATATTACATCAATTTTGATATCAGAAAAAAAATTGACATATTAAACTATTAAATTAAAATAATACATTAAAATAATACATTAAAATAATACATTAAAATAATACATTAAAATAATATTTTAAATTAATGCATCAATAGTTTATATTTTCACATGACAAAAATGGAACGATGGAAGAATGATTTAAATATACTCGGACAGCCAAGCGACGCGAGAGGCACTTAATTCTTATAAAGGCAACTCCAGAATTATCACTGACTACCTTAGATCTCTTAACTAGTTAGACCAGCAGGTAAGTGTCAATCTGATATGGGTACTGGGTTATCAAGCATAGAATGAATCTGCATTGCAGGCGACCACACATCCCTCCAGACAAGAAATGAATCAGCTGGGTCGGGAAAGCAGAAATCTGTGTTTGGAAAAGGCCAACGAGATGGCCAACTCTGAATATCCAAAAAACTACTACGCTCATATAACTAAAATGCATGAATTTTCTTGGCTAATACCAGGTAGTAGTATTTACATTTAAATATTTTTTCATGGGCTTTATTTCTTTTCATTTTATTTTATATATTAATTAAAATAAAGATTTCTTATTATATACATAAATTGTATTACAAATTAAAAATAAAATACGGGCCCTTCCTCTTGTTCTGATGATTGGCCGTACACCGAAAAATCTAAAGATTACTGCCGGAACTCGAGTCCCTCGGTTTAAAAACCCGAAAAAACCAGACAACATTTTTTGATTTTCGTAAATTAAAAAAAAAAACTAAAACATCCCCTGTTTCTAAAAAACAAATAAGATTCTCTTCCTTGATAGAACATTCAACACAAATACATGCACACACATGTGTTATATAAGTTAATATATTATTACAAATATGCTGAGATTTAGCCAACTTAAGCGTTTCATTTGAGAAGCAAATTAACGGCTATCGTTTTCATTAGAAGCTCTGGCAAATTTGAGCGTGTTCATTAAGACAAAACACTTGTCGTCGCTTAGCAGCCGTGTGCGTGTGTGAGGACGTGTGTGTGAGGATGCGTGTGGGTTTTTGGGTATATGGGCTTTTGTGTCCATGTACATTACCATGGCAGCGCAGAGCGTGTGAAAACATGAAGTGGTCCTGTATGTATGGTTGTAAGTTCTCGTAGGTGTGTGCGTGCGTCTCGTTGGGTATTGGGCCGTGCGTCTATCGATTGTTCAACTCGCATAATTACACAAGAGTCATTGTCATCAATTTACGTTTTACGTGTGTTGGTGCTTTACGCTGCAAATTGTTTCGGTTTGTGAGTTCTATGTGTGTATGTGTGTGTGTATTTGTGATGGATGTATGTGCTGTGCACAAATTGCCGGTTAGTTTAAGCTACAGCTAAATTATCTGGGTGCCACTCAATTATGATGGACATATGTATGTGTATACTGAAGAGTAGATTGGGCAATTGGGCAGCCATAAGATGCCGAAACTTTGTGCAGCTGCAAACAAATAGTATTTGAGTTACGTCTGTAATATAATTTTAGTCGTTCGTACATAAACTTTAGACTAACTTTCATTTTTCATTCTAGAAGAGAAAACGTGTATATGAGTGTCAATCTAGAACCCTGAAATATCTACATATACTAAAGGCGAACATTTTCATTAAGGATGCGTGAAATACAGTTCAGGCGTCTGATCTTCTTTAGGGAGCAAAGATAACTTGGGAAGCATTTCTTAACATACATGCATTCCATGGATAAAGTATTTACTTCTTAGCCGATCATGTGAGCATTATTTATTTCTCTAACATTAAAATCATTTTAATTAAATAAATAAAACTAACAATTCTATATGCATTCTTATTATTTATAACTTTACGATGTGTTATATGTATATGTATAGAAACATATATTTTTCCATTCTTTCAATTCTTTTACTTTGATTATTTTTCTTTATTTTCTGATAAATCCCTTCTACAACTACTTATTATGTCTGTCCTTCAAAACCACAAACCTCTGTACTTCCTGTTTCCTCACTTCGAAACAGCTTTCGATATTTATTATTTTTTGTCGGGACAATGCGACAATGCTTGTCCCGGCTACCAAAAATTGGACGTATGAAATATTTCAGTTTGAAATATTCACAGAGGTCGACTTGACCGAAGGTGCACTGACCAAGCCTCGCCCTGGCGTAACCGTCTTCGTGATCACGGTTTACAGCTACGCCATGTAAGTTTGAATATTATACTGTTATTTAGTCAGTCCCAATCAAAAATTCCACCATACTGGTTGGGAATTCCAAGAAGCCTGAAAAAGCAATGTATACCACCAGAAAGTATGCAATATTTTTATATTTGTGAAGGGCACACATACATTCATTACTTTACATTCTTGCAGAAATATTAAACACTTAACTACTAAGTTGAAATATTCAACGATAACTACAATATACAATTTCAACTCCGAAACCATTAATAACAAAACAAAAGGACTTCTATCTTTAATGGTGCAATATAACTGAAAAGAGGCCGACTTCGCAAAAGACTGTTTTATGCTGTATTCAAACTTACTGTACTAGTAGACCGAACTGAGCATTTCTAAATCAGCAATATAAAATATCAGACATCACAAATATAGAAATATTTGAATAATAGAAATATAGAAAACCCGTTAACAATTTAGTAGACAAAGTACAGAGTGCGCCATCTTTTATGTCGGTATGTAAATATTGAATAACTTTGTCATTAGTGAACCGATTGACTATATTGATGTTGTTTAAAAAATAAGTCTGAAGAAATTGTACAGAACCAAATTAAATAAAAATATCTCATACTTGAATATCGGTTGTTTATTTTCAAAGATATTCAATGTTTACATACCGACATAAAAGATGGTGCACCCTGTATATAGTATAATAATTTAAAAATTCTTTCTCTGTTCTTGCAAGAACTGATTAATTGGAAAGTTGAAAGTTCTTAAAAATCAAATCCGAGCAAATACACAAAACTAAATTTCTTGCATATTTTAAATTATAATTTTATTTATTACATTTTTACGATATATTTTTGTAATTAACAATAATTTTTTACAACATAGCTCTAAGCTTATATGAAATTGCTTTAAAAGGCTTTTTATTTTAGGGCCGATGTAGAAAAAGTACGTCATTCTAAAATCATTTCTAAATTACTTTTGTATAGTACGAAATACCTAATTAAAACGATTCAATTTCGTTTTTTTTCTTCTATATTATGCGTTCTAAATGTAAAATCAACACTAAAATTCAAAGTACAAATAGGTGTAAATTAAATCTTCATTTTGATTCATTTCCCTGAGTACAGACGCTACATTTTGAGCTCTGCTTAGCAGGCTCATGTGAGAATTAAGGTAATTGGCTTAAGTTAACTCCAACTTGAATGGAGTAAGCCAATTTAGTCTTTGTGTAACCGCAACAATCTATGTACATATATTAGAGTAAATACAAACATACTATACATATGCCCTGAAGTTTCAAAGTCATTAAAAGTGCAAAATCATCACCAACATCAGTAATCATAGTGTTTGGCCCACCCATGAAATAGAAGCTTAATTAATGTCATGAGCATCGACTACCCACGAAAGCAAGAGAACAACTGAAGCGTATGCTGGGATCCTTTTAGGTAACTGTCTGCTCTTCTTGGCTAACATTTACTGCTCTATTTGATTTTATTTTGAAACAGAGCCGTGCCAGACCGAGCTAGTTAAACATCCTGGCAGAAAGATAGGCAGAAAGACAGGCACACAGACAGGCGAACGAGCAACAAAGTCTCATGCCATTTGGCTGCTAATGCAAAATCAGCCAAGCAAAAACGTAACATTAAAAGTAATTTTCCATTGTGTAAATCCTTATTTAAATGCCAAACGCACTAATGTGTCTATGTGTGTGTGTGGGGGGGGGGGGGGGGGGGGGGGGGGAAGGACGATTTCAAGATGAAAGCGGCGGAGTCTCCTGCTCATTTGTATGTTAATGTGTATGCGAATTTGAATGTGAATGCGTGTATAATACTTACAATAAAATCTCATCCCTTTTTAAGTGTTCAAATTACGGATTTTAACCTTTTTTCTCCATTGTTTGGACGTTGAAGCACCAAGCACCAGAGAAGCTAGCACGCTTTGTTATTCCTTTTATCACACAATGCCAGTGTGTGTTCTCTTCTTTGAAAGCAATTCCAACGAAATCTTTCTGCGCCAAAAAAGTATGCTTCATTAGGCGTAAAACAAAACTAAGCATATGCAGAGTAGCAACACAACAAACACCCAGAGAGTACAACAAAGTTAATATCAGTTTGCATCTAGTTTACATTATTTATTTTCAATTTCGTGAGCGACATCGACGTCAACATAAACAGTTACAAACGGCAGTCAAACCGCTCCTTCATTACATTGACATTTTCAAAATGGCGTCAATACGCACGCACAACTCACACACACCCACACACACACACACACACACACGCGCGTACATGTGTATACATGTATGTACATACGCACGACTTCAGCCGCGTGTTTGTGCGCAACGTGCCGCATGCGTGTTGTATGTTGCGTGCATTTGAAATGCAAAATAGTTTTGCATGCCGCAAAAATGGCAGCCATTCAGCGTCGCTGTCGCTCATTTGCATGCATGATGTTCGCGCCTTGATGAGTCTGCACTCGCCCCCTCTCCTAACACCTCACTACCTTCGCGAATCCCCTCTCAATAGTGGCAGTAACTACAGAAACAGCAGTTGGGCAGTCCGTAACCCTGGCAGTCAGCTAGTGGATGCGCATTTGAAAGGCATTTTGGGAAAATTTAAATAATTAAAAGCCCAGCCAACTTGTGTGCGCTGAAATTGAAGGCAGTTTGTTGACTTGGCCCGTCAAATACCTCGGTTACAGCTCTTTAAATATTCATAAAAAATGTTTCGCCATGTTACAGGTTGAAGATTTCAACATTCAAATGAATTGTTTTAACAAATTTAGAAAGCTGGGGGAAAGAAACTCACATGAAATGCATTAAACTGCTATTTTGGCAGTACGTGAATATTTTAAATATGTGCATATATATTGGAAACAAATGAGGGCCAACCCGAATACGAAGTTTACGATTAATATCTAGAAATATTTAAATTTACTTTATGTGTACTTAATTACAGTTTATTAAAAACTATTAAGAATAAACTAAAGATTGAATATATTTTGTGGGGTCTGCCTGTCATATCAGAATATCTCAGAGCCAGTGGGATACAAATTTCATCCAGACTGTTAAGAAGACTAGACCTGAAATAAGAATATCATCTTTTAAAATTTAAACAAGGCTTGTAAAAGATTTTTTATAGCACCTTTCTGCTGAAGATTAAATAGTAAATAGTTTTTCTGATCTATAAGGATCTACAAACACCAGAGCCGGTCTAAGATTTTCGTTCCATTTTATCGACAAATGATCAGCACAAGGAATTGATTCTACTTCGCCTTAAAATCTCAATTCTATTAATATTTTTGTGAAACGTAAATTTCCATTTTAGTAATAATTGTGGGGACAACGATTTGTAATGATGAATATTATTTATATAATTACAATATAATAGAGTATATTCTGCACGAAATGGCGAGTTGATGAGTATAGACTTGACTCTTAACCGACTGCAAGACCAACTGCCTCTTCTTTGCGACTGATACTACTTCCTATTTACGCTTATTCACCTATTTCCATAAGGTTGCTATCTGCTATTTCTAACATACGCTTCTTCGGCGCCTTATTGAATTCAAAAATTAGTCGACTTTGCTCATTAACATACTTAGCTTTGATGATTACTTCTGGGTAAGATTAACTATTGTTACAACGTTTCAATTTCTTACCTGAGTTCCAAGACATTGTTTCATAATTATTTATCCAAAATAGCGCCCTTTACGGCAGCCTGTGGCATATTTAATTAAAAGTAATAGGAATTATAAACTTCTTCGTAATTGGTTTATAATTAGTCCAGTGCTTAGTTTAAAAGTTAGCCACTTCTTGAAATTGGACAACAGCTTAGCTGACCCTCAAGCTTTAACCTGGCCAAGAGCTTCTGCTAAGCAAACTCACAAAGTAGCATTTTGGGGTTGGCTGCATAAACTGAAGTTAACAGCATTAGCAGTAGAAGTAAACAACTGCGAAACCCAAATAAGGTAACTAAACAGGCAAGAACTGAGCTTTAAACAAGTTAAAAATAGATAATAATGCCGCGAGTTTAGTCGGAAAAAAATAAATGTAAGGCATAGAACAATTATAATTTTATTTGATGTCGCTGCAGAAGAACATTTAAAAGAAACACATTTAACTTGGGGCAACTTTTCAAACAATGAGCTTTTCGTAATACGAAAAACACAAAATACAAAATAATATAAAATTGTCTTGAGTGCAAAATGCCAAACGACTGTCATTGTCACTTGAACCAAATATGCGTCTAGCTGGTCTGGTCTCTCTGGGCAACAGACATGGCAAGGGCTTCCTCCGCCTTCCCTCTTTTCAGGATGAATATATCCTGCTGGCCTGCCATATTGCTTTGACAAACAGCTGCGTTTGTCATGTGTTAGCCTGCAAGCAATATTTTCCGGCAGACGCCAAATAAAAATCCCAAAAACTTATGTCACTGAAGTAGCAGCCACCAAGCGACAAGCGGCAGACACTGCTGCCATCGCCTTCTGCTATCAGCCAACACTTCAGGCATAGCGCTGGGAATTAACAGCACATTGAAGTTTCCTTTTTCTCATATTTTTTGCTTTTTTTTGCTGCCGCTGTTCAAAGCCAGACATGCAAACTTTATATGCATGCCAACGATGCTTCGGAGACATTGCGACGTTGATAAGTTTGCATATAAATTGTGACACATGCTACAAAGCAGAAAGCAGCCACACAGTGGCTCCAAAACACCTTATACTATATCCTTCCTATCCATATTGATTATGATAAGCTTTTAAAAAAATTGAAGTGCAATATTAATGCTGTTCAATTTCAAATGGCTTTTATTTCTTTGAATTACGTTTTCGGTATTAAAAATGTTATTTCCGGGTACTTGTATTATTTTACATATGAAGAGAAACGTATCATTATTCCAAATCATGGTCATATTGGTTCGAAGCAAGCTCAAAAGTGATGAAAAATGGGAGGCGTGTATAAAACTCTTTTAGAATTCAGTGGGCCCAGTTTACCGAGATTCCATTCTTCCCTAGAAGGTTCGATAGT